GTCAAAATATCGCACTCCTATTATTTTGTGGACAACTGTAAACAACACAAGGGAACGAAATGGGAAAAACTTTTGTTGCGGCAAATGTTAAAGCTGATTTTCATTGACATTTCTGTGCTAATTACGAATCAGTGAGTATAAAGTTTCCATCAGCTCAAGATTTTGAGAAAAACGAGGTCAAAATGTCAAAAGATTGTTTTTTTTTGCAATATTTGAACGTTAAAATATTAATTGATGTGTTTGCCAGCTGTTGCAGAAACTAAATTCAAATTATTTAATAAGCTAAATGGATTTCAGTCGCTTATGGGTTTGAAAAGCAATTGTTTTGGACTGTATTTAGGAGAGTTGCCAGCTGTTTAAAAATTGAAATTTAATTTAATTCATCGTTGATGCCTTTGAAAACTGGGTTATTAGGATACGCTACTGCGAAGCCAGGCACAAGAAGAAATGATGTTCCATAAATAATGGGAACATTTGGGTATATTTTAAATAAACCCATAACACACCAAACAAATTGGATTGCCATAATTATTTTTTTTTAATTCTTAAAAATAAATAATTTTTTGGTAAGGTCATCAGATAATTTTTGTGAAGCTCATCAGATTAGCATCGTCATTTTGAATCTAAATGTGTATTAAGGTTTTATTTTTTGAACTTTTTTTTGAGGAAATGCGCCACCTCATTTCACTCAGAAACGAATGGACGGATTTACTTGAAACATTTTGAATATTCATTAAGGTTTTAGAGTAGTGTTTCCACCTGTATAAAAAGTTAAATTAAATTACACTAGTTATATCCAGGGCCAAATGAAATAAGAACGAAAAAATCAATTTTAAGCGCTTAGAAAAGCACTAAAACACTTAAACTAGCTAAACTAAAACACTAAAACTAAAAACTTAAGTGCAGTTTAGAGTTTTGTTTTTTATTCAGTTTATTTCAGGGATTGAAAAATTACAGTGGCCAATCAAGTGTTGCTTGATATACTCAAATAATAAAGGGGTTAGGGTTGATAAAAACCAAATCCGTTTTTATATTTCTGTTTGCAAACATTCGCTTGGTTCGACGAATAACATCAGAATCTTCATCGCTGGAAATTTAGAAATAGTCGGAAGCTTTAAGCGTGGTTAACAGATCTCAAGAACTGTCAAACCTCCATAAAAAAATCAAGAAAATTTCACTATGACAAATTGTCTAAAGCAGTACGGAGTTCTTGAAAAAATTGCTAAGCTTTCTACTACGGCTTTCTTTCTTTTTTAGCAAAGCGCACCAGGCAGCCCATGTTTTTAAAAGAAATGCATACACATATATGACCCTTTCATTGTTTCTTGAAGAAAAAGTGAGGCAGCAGGCTGTGAAATATCAGAAGAACTCCAGAAACAACACAGTTAACTCTTACGAAATACAGACATTTTTTTATTCGCCCTTTTCTTAAGAAATCCGTACTTAGCCTCATGCATTAAAATAAGCAAAATATGCACTGCCGTTAAAATTAAGCTGAGAAACCCCGGATGAGCAAAATAAGCAATTCCAAGCAAAAGCTCAAATTTTTAGCTTAACATAAAATTTAGTCCACACGAAAAGTAAAGGAGGAAGGTAATAACAAAGTTTTTTAGTACATATGTATGTATGTATGTAAATCCTAGTTTTTCCATTAACAAAACTCGCTTTTAAAACATATCTTAAAATTAAGCTATTTCTCTACGTACTTTCTTGTTATTTTGGATGTAAGCCATACATCAGGTGCTTTGTTTTTGGATCGATATTTATGTAAGTCATCTGCAAAACCAAAAACTTTTCGTTGCACTGCAAAACTATTACACTACCGCGCTTACTCTATTATTCCCATGACGCATAATAAACACTATTTCAATCAGACTATAGGGATTTACTGACCCACTACTCAGCAACCCTGCAAGTACTTCAGAGTTATAAACTTCTTTGGTATTATATGCGACTTCAGTTCAAACTCAGCAGTATGAAAGGAACACACACTTTTACAGATTTTTCAAGTAAGACCATTGAGGTTTTTAAAACATTTTTCCATAAACATATACACACATATGTACATTAGGGCGGGTCGAAAATCAAATTTTTCTCAAATCCCTTGGTAATAATGAAAATATCTTGTATCATGTATATTAGTGTTTTATTCTAATTGTAAAAGCCCGCCAAGTGACCCACAGCACCCTAGTCGAATAAGACATGTTAAAAATTCTGGGTGCAGCGAAAAAGTTTGGTGCATATGATTAGATAATGAATCCGTTAACGCAAAAGATAAAGTCAAATATCATTTCTTTAGCTTATGGTTAGTTGCAAAGTTATCTGTTTTCAATAAAATTGTTAATTGTTTAATTGTTCCCTTGATAATTGCACTGGCCTATAGTCAAAAGATGTAAAGAACAGCATTAATATTGCTGGCGTGCATTTAGGTCGCTGGTTCCAAATAATCTAAAATTTTTTTAATATTAGCTATAGTTTGCGAATTTTTGCAAGTTTAGGAACAATTTCCGTAGCTCTAATAGAAAAGCCATTAATTTCCATCATCTTGGAAAAATTTTGTTTATCCAAATGAGTGTGGAAATACCGAACAGGCACGACTTCTAGAAACAATAATTAGTTTACTTACGTTTATGCATACAATATAAAAATAGCAAATATAGGAAAATGACAACAAATTTTGTTCAAAATTTTTTTTTATCTTAAATTAATTTGTTTATATTCTGAACGATTTTTCTTGTATTATTATCATAAATCAGTAACAGTAAGTCTCGCCTTCAAGTTGGTTATTATTACTCGATCGGTACTATCTACCAAAGTTATATCGAAAAGTGGCTCTCCAGTTTTTTCTAAAAAAATTTATCTTCTATTGTATAAACAACCTTTTAATAAAAGAACCGGATTACAGAAAACTGTGCTAGTGATTGACTCTTTTCGTTCAAGCTGAATGCAAAGCAATATCTTCCAATTGAGGAGTCCTCAAAAGGATTTCCCTGGATATGTTAAAGACTATTGCATTTACGTACAGTCACTTTCTCACATAATGGAATTAACTAAAATATTTATATATATCTAAATACTTATTGCACGTCCCCTACTTTCATATAACGGCAAATTTAGAAACCGCGAAAAATGTGCTTCTTCGGTGTCTAATGAAAGCATTCCGCATCATTTTTCACCCTAATAGTATTATGTTTATGTATGTAAATACTTATATGCTTGAAACTGGTATTAACTCATCTAAGGACTACTAATCTTTGACAACAGATATTTGACTTCATTCACCACGATGTGGAAAACTGACCAAATCGGCGTGCCAAGTTCATGGTCCTTTTAATATTAAATAAACATCCGAGAACATTAAAACGTTTGAAATAAATCTCGTCTCATTTTTTTGTATTTTTCACTTGGTTGCTGAAGTAATGAAGAATTGAAAATTCATAAGAGAAAATTAAAGTTTTTTATCTTAAAATCGTAAATCTTCTTTTGAAAAATGATAATTGGACTAAATTTAATAACCAACATCATAATTTTACTTTTACAATACGGTCAAATGCCTTTTAGTTTCCCCCATACAAAATCGACCCAGCCTAATGCAAGCATGTATACTTATGTATGTACCTTGACCTACATATTTACAATAACTATGTTCACTTTGCCTGTACACATATTTACGGGTATGCTTTTTTATCTTCGAATAACACATATTGTTGTTGCTGGTTTTCAAATAAAGCATTTAGGCCTTTCAAACACGTCACCAAATTTTTTGCATTTCAATGGGACTGAACGCACTTCCACTGTGAAACGCATTGCTCATTTCTAAGGCAAGCATACATAGGTATGTGTGTGTGTACGTTTAAATGTGTGTGAGTATGCATGCACATACATATGTACTTTTTCACAAAAATTCCATGCGTGCAAATTCTATTTGAAATTTAAGGTGTGCTGAGAACTTAAGTAGACTTGGTTGCCCTAATCTGTGTATGTGTGTAGTTATTGTAGCTTTTATCATTCGAATAGCTTCCGATATTGTTAATTCGTTCAAGGATTACTTACAGTCACGGCTTACATTCCTTCTTTGCATAAATAGGCGTTTGTTTAGGTTTTGTAGGTTGCCGTTTTTCATTTCAGCTGACATTGAAATTCACTTGGTTTTTGAGGCCAGCTATTTAGTTGGTATTTAGGACCCACTCTTGCCTTTGGATGCGCATATATGTAGGAAAGAAACGACTTTACCCAGTAAGCCATTTTTTGACGAACGATGAGATAAAAATCTTTTATTTAGCAGCCGACGCACAGTGGTCCAATGTGCAAAGCTAGGGTAATTTAAGTAAACTTTTTGTTTGTAATTTTTCAATTAAATTGTTATCAAATATGCAATAATATTGTCTACTTAAGAGTAAATAACCTTTGTTTGAAAAAATTTGGCTACATATAAACATAACGGTATCCAAAAGTCATAGTATGCAATAAGTGAAAAATGAAATTGTGCGTGCAACGAAAACTGAGTATTTTTAAGGCTCAATAACGTGTTTAAATAAACTTTGTTTTAACTTCATTTCTTTCTCCGTCTTTGTTTTAAGTAAGAAAATTCAGGAAATGTAAAAATTATTACCGTAGTGGACGCACACATTTTTTTTGGAGCTGATAAAGTTTTAATCTTTTTGGTAAGTACCAAATTATTATTATTTTTGTTTTTGTAGACGAAATCTTTCTTATATGGCGGAATATAGATCACTTACTATACTTATTCTCTCAATTGATGTATATACTAATAGAATCCACAAAAAAATTATGCGGCTAGCTGCGGCACCCATTCATTTATTTTCAATTTTCAAAATGTCTCCTCAAATTTCAAGACAACAAAATTTTTGATTTTTGGCTGTCGACCCCTAAAAATGAAAGACTTGATGGAATAATCTATTTTTTACCAGGTAATATCAGTCTAGGATNTTCTAGGATCTAGTGATAGAATCAACTTTGATAAATTGAAATCATACGGGCGAAGTTAGTTCAGAATTTGGACCTAAAGTGGACAAAAGTTTTCCGAAAAAGAGTGCGGTTTGTTACTGNGTAATAGAATCCACAAAAAAATTATGCGGCTAGCTGCGGCACCCATTCATTTATTTTAAATTTTCAAAATGTCTCCTCAAATTTCAAGACAACAAAATTTTTGATTTTNATGCGGCTAGCTGCGGCACCCATTCATTTATTTTCAATTTTCAAAATGTCTCCTCAAATTTCAAGACAACAAAATTTTTGATTTTTGGCTGTCGACCCCTAAAAATGAAAGACTTGATGGAATAATCTATTTTTTACCAGGTAATATCAGTCTAGGATCTAGTGATAGAATCAAATTTGATAAATTGAAATCATACGGGCGAAGTTAGTTCAGAATTTGGACCTAAAGTGGACAAAAGTTTTCCGAAAAAGAGTGCGGTTTGTTACTGCAAATATAGATTGGCTCGAATTTGAAATAGACTTGTCAGCTAAAGGTTTTGAAGATTGTTGCCAAAAGGTTAAAATGAAGAAAGCTAATGAGCTTTCGAAAGTTATCGAACCAGATGTATTTTTTTTGGCCACTGAACTAAAAATTAGATCTTCAGCTACGCTACTTAATGAGCTTTTAAGTGCTTCTCCAGAAAGAAGTACTGCTATTAAGAAGGTCAGATTGGCAAAGAAGAGGCCTAAAGGTATTTCGCCTGAAGAAGCTCTCACACTAATAACACCGGCACACAAAAAAAAATTAGTGTGATGTGCATTTGACCATCTATTTTGGTGAAAAGCCGGGTTATTTGCAACTATTAAGTGCGTGGCGTACGCAGTAAAAAGTTGGTGGAGAGATAGGAGATTACGTGTCTATAATAACAGTGAGTCTACCCCCAAAGCTTTTTCCAGCCCTCTTTCTGCTTTCAGACTGGTTCGGAAAAGCAAATGGTTGAACTCTGGGTTCCAGGTCACCCGGGAGTTCCTGGGAGTTAGACATCTGGTAATTTGGCTAGACGAGGCTAAGGTCTAGTGCATTTTAAAACGTCAAGCTAGATATTTGCTTTCATTTAGTAGATGGGACTGCAGAGAACTTGTAGGCCAGTCCTCGCGGCACAAAATTCTGACTATGATCGGCGGAACAATTTTTATGACTCTGTCCGGACTTTGCAAATAATGGGTATGCGGGTTTGGTTAGCGATGTGTTGGGAGACGATCACCTGAGTACTTTAACACCTAACAATCTGCTCCGATTAAGTCATAGGTTATGCAGATTAAAAAGGGAATACGAAAGTCGTAAAATGGACCGCAAGTAGCCTAAGTGCTTCTGCACTCCTTGTTTTATATTGTTTTTACTGAAATTGAATGGGCTACAAAACTAGATACTCGAAAAATTAAAAAAAAAATAAAATTTGGTTTATGTAGATTTTTTAAACTTGCTGAATTTTTGTGAATTTTATACAAAGTTTAATGGCCTTATTCATAAAAAATAAAGTAAGTTTAAAGAGCTTTATAAATTGACGTTTTCATACATTTTTCAATTTATAAACCTTTTATAAGACTACTTTATTTTTTATGAATAAGGCCATAAGACTTTGAAGTAATTTTATGGTTATTATAAAACATTTTGAATATTTTAAAAATGCTAAATCATGAATACTTCTGTGAGTGACTGTATTTCTGTTAGATCGCAGAACTAAAGCTTGCCTAGAAACCTGATTCTAGTGCTACATAGTCTTGGGCTATTACAGATCAAATGCTCTACCGTTTCTCCTGCAGCTGGTAACTTATAGGTACGGCCAGTAGCTGGGTTCCCAGGGCCCAAGGCACTATAAAAACGGCAGTCTGTCGAGACAGATCCTTCCTGTTTAGATTACTGAAAAATACAGTTCTCTTTGCGCCGTAGGTGGGCCACAAACTCCTATATAAAGGGTGTTTTTTTCGACGTGTGGTTTTCAATGAGGCAATACTTTTTCGGAGTTGGTCTTTTTGACAGCTTTTACTTTATTTATACTCAGTTTGGTTTGCCATTTCATAATGAACAGACTTACTGCGGAACAACTTTTGCAAATCTTGCAAATTTATTACCAAAAACATCGCGCGTTGCGTCCAATATTCGGTCAACATAATCGCCCAGTAGAGTCGGTAATTCGAGCAAACCATGGATCGGTTTCGCATCACGTTTACTCTAGTGGATAATGCGCATCCTCAGAGATGCCGTACAGTGCGCACTGAAGACGCTATTTCTGCTGTGGAGCAGAGTCTTCGAAGAATATCGGAATGAGCCCATCCGCCACCGTGCGCACCAATTGGAGCTGTACGGAAGAATCTTGGTTTGCGCCATAATGGAGGCGGCTCGGTGGCTCATAACCTCCGCCCCTCCAGGACGGCCTATCGCTATACAATATATTCTATATTCTAACAGTCTGGCTGCTGTCAAATCTATGGAATATAACGGAGCAAGGTCCTAAGTAGCCATAGAATGCAGGAAGACTCCTTGAATGTTGTATAGGTCCCTGGACATAGGGACATTCCTGGCAGCCGACGAGCTGGCAAGGAGGAGGACAGAAATATCTGTAGTAAATTCTGCTCGAAATGCGGGCATACCTCTAACCTCCTGCAAACACAGACTAAAGGCGAAACTCGTTGAGGAGGTAAATATAAGCAGGGCTGTGGAAACCACCTGCCATACTACCACGCAAATTTGGCCAAAGATTGATGTAGACCGATACATAGCTCTCAGCTGGCCGGCTGGACCGCTCCTCTCTCAGATTAGTAGTCGGGGTAATCACCGGACACTGCTTCGGCCAGTGGTATCTACTAATTTTACTGAAGCATAAAAAATTTGGCATTGCGTGCTATTGGAATGAAAGGGTTAATGCTAGCAGACATAGGTCATTTATTATTTCAGTGCTAGTTAGTACGTTCACATGCTTACGCGTATACCTTTAAGTTGCTTGGGTGTAGCTTATATAAATGTAGACCGCGGATTTATGATTGCCACTGGTTTCAAATCTTACAATGGATCAACACATACAGCTGCATACTAATACATAATGCCAAATTGCTTTTTGGAGTAAGCAGATAAGTTTGTATGCATTTATACACATACATACATATATCTGTGGTCATAAGCAATAATCGCCTAAGTCGAAAAACCTGAATTCGAGAAAAAGCGCTTTAAGGATTTGGGTTGTAATGTTAACCTTATGGGGAAACCAAAAGACTTTCATTTATAAATTTTTAACTAGAATAGGTAACGAGATTGGAGTTTCACGTAGGCATGGAACAATAGTTGCAGAAAACGATAGCATATATAACTCAATTCTTTCTTAAGTCGACTTAGGCGGTTATTGATTACGACCACAGATATATGTATGTATGTATGCTGTTTAGGTTGCTTGGGCGTATTCGTGATTTTCATTTATCGTTTGCCAGCACATAACATTTATGCTATATATATACGATAAATTCGTTAACAATGGAAGCTTAAACAATAATAACCATATTTACAGTACCAAACACACGCTTTCAATAATGTCGCTGCAATAGTCCTGATAAAACATAGATTATTATACTAATTATGTATGAACAATGCAGCATTACAAGCATCAAGTAACACATAAAATATTTAGTTATGTGAAACCAAACACTTAACGGCCACACACTTCGCTCTGTGTACATTTGGCCAAGCTTTTCCCATGGAGAGCACCTCATTTTTCCGCCACCTCCAAGTGGTAAATGTGTTTTATGTAACTAGAAGCCTTTTCATGACACAGTTTGGACGAAAATTTATAATTTTCCAATCAATTTGGATGTTTCTTGGAGAAGGAATCGAACTTGGCACTATCGAGTGCTAATAAATACCTCTAACACTTGGCTACAGCGGCCACCATATTTATATGCATAAATATTATTATCAAAACGCTGTATCGCTTTAAAAATATGATATCGAATTTGTATTTTGTATTATTTGCAAACCACAATTTTATATGAAAGTTAAGCATATTAAAGCAAATTAATTAAAATTACTCAGCATTAAACCACACAGCGTATCAGTTGATTTTAAATGAATAACAACTATGTATGTACGTCTGTCCAAGTGCACTTTGACTGCTTATCCCGCTTTTCCAAAACATACTTACAAATAATGCTTCATCATTGTATTTAATACATTTAGCGTTACTTTTTCGTGGCCAAGTATAAATAAAGCAAAAGATTTTACTTAAATTGAGCGTCCGTCAAATGGTCAACCACGCAATTCATGTATTGCCAAGAAGCGTCTCGTCTTTGAAAGCTCGACGAAAATCTCAGTCCCAACAAGCAAGTAGAGAAAGAACATTAGCCTGCCGGTTGAAAGATGTTTACCTTGCACTGAAAAGGCATTTCTTACCATGAAGTTGTATGCCATCAATCACCGCAGCGAAACCGAATGGTGCCTTTCCTTAGTTTTTATATTTCGGTAAATACTATGTACTGTTGCTTATGTATAAGTATCGATTTTAAGCTCTATGTAAATGGTAAAAAGGTTTCGTAGTCTTAAGGAAATATTTTAACTAAAATGCACTAAAGAAAATATTGATTCTATTTCATTCATTCCGTCATACGATATCCTTACAGCTTTTGCATCTATCCCACCTAGTATTAATGGCTACACTGTTTTCTTGCGTTTTGGTGTTGTCACACAAATGAGATGACTACAGCTTAACGCCGCTTTCGAATGCTTTTTCATGATTTAGGCTTGTTGCCTGCCGATCGCTGGCATATTTTGTTT